CCTATTACATTCGATTCCCGCCAAGTACTTTGAAATTCTATATCGAAAATAAATACTTGTAATACCTTTTCCGACTTTTTACCGTTTTCAACTTTCAACCAATGAAAAAGTCGAAATTTTTCGAAAAAATTATATCATGCCCTATTTTTTTCGAAGAAATTGTGGGGTTCGTTTCAAATATCGATATCGATATTTGGATGATATCCATCAACATAATATTTGGTACACAATTTGAATACTCATTCCATTTCTGGTGTTCGTTCGGCAAACAACTCTTTTATGAGTTCAAAATTTTCAGTAACATTTTGTTTTCTCTAATATTCAATATAACCTGAACAACCTGGTCAGGACATTTACATGGACATAAGGATTCGAGAAAACCTGTACCAGATCGGGGAAAAAGACGTAGCTACCAGTGGGAGCCAGGAGACCCTTATTCGAAGAAAAAGTGAGACCATTCCAAAGGGAAAGAATCCCAGATTCAATATTGTAAAACCCATAGGAAATAAATAAGAAATAAATAAATAAAAACTAAATGTATATTTAAATTCTTAGCCGTCTCTATGTATATATATAGGTGTCGGAGAGATGGTTTTCGGTTAGATTGGAGAGTACCAAACAGCTGTTATGTTGTGCGACCTGAGTGCTTGGGAAGTACTCAGCCCTGGGGTGACTGGCTAGCCGTTTCTTCTTGATGCAACAACTGAAAACGTATTTTTCCTGTGAAAAATTGTTAATATGTGGAAAAAAACCTCCATTTATAATAGGTTCAGGTCTCAACTCTCAATTGATCGAACTCATAAAGTGTGCGTCAAATTCTATCGTTGGTTGACCAAAGCGCGCTAAGTCGATCCGAAGATGAACTGTCTGTTCCAGACCTGGCACTTATTTCGCTGATTGTCCTCCTCCTCCGATCATGCAAGAGCTGCAAATCCCACTAAAAGCAATCTCCTGCATGGATCAATTTTCTATTCATTGTTTTATTAACCTTTAATTAAATTTTCACACATTTTCAAAAAGGTAAACAAAACAACACAGCTGCCTGAGAAGTGTAACCGTACGGAATGCGGTTTTCACCTCTGGTCACACTCTGCTGCTGGCAAAATGTATTGCATATTTTGCTAGCAAGTCTTTTTTTCGATCTGAGTACTAGGGCACTAACCAAATAGTATAGTAGATTGTTAATTTGAGCCAAGCGAAACGTCACCGCTCAATGTGCGTCTTGAAGTCCCAGGCCTCTGCCAAAGTCCCAGCTACAAGTATTAGTGCGTGTAGAGCACGCAGACAGAAGTCCCAGCTACATTTTAATAATATACTATACTATTTGGTTAGTGACTAGGCTCAAAAACAGATCTTTATTTTTCGAGCTGCTAGCAACATACCAACGAATACCACACAAATACTATGAATACCACAAAAATACTATCGATACCACAAAATACTATCGTCTGACTTTCTAGATTATTTCGCCCTGTTTTATTGTCGATCTGAGTACTGCCTGGCCTACAGCCGCTAGAAAGTAGCTTATGCGCACAAAAATGTCTTACCGGTTCCATACGAATATCATGCCTGACTTTTTTAGCGGCCCCTTTTTTTCGATCTGAGTACTAGGCTTTACCGTTTTGAAAATGTGTGAAAATTGAATAAAAAGTTAATAAAACAAAGAAGGCAAAATGGATCCATGCAGAATACTGCATGGTTGCATGGTTCCGATCTGAATACTGCCTTCGTACAGCCGCTAGAAAGTAGTTTGTGCGCGACAACATATCTTATCGGTTTCATATGAATAGCATCCCTTTTTTCTAGCGGCCCCTTTTTTACGATCTGGATACTAGGCTTATGCAGTTATTGGATGGTTAGCTCTTGGCTCCTAACGATAGCTGACGTATCGACAAGAGCACGGAGAAGAAGAAAAACGTTAGAAGTGTTTTGTTTTGTAATAATTAATTCCGCTCTTATCTACCACGTTCTGATGGTGAGGTATGGATCGTACGCGTTCACCAGGAAACAACACGCTATCGCTGGATTGGGGAACCAGTTTTCCTGATGAACGCGCCCATTTAGTTCATTGTCTTTTTACGATATAAATTGAAAATAGGAAGCTTTATTCGGTATATTTTTGAGGGCTATACGGTATATTTTTTTGATAATTCCGCGGTCACACTGTCTCATGATAAAATGTGTAAATTTGCAAAAAAATAAATGAATAAAAACGAAGTAGTTATGTATTTATTGTCCAAGGATGTAGTTTTAATAGGTACGATTAAATGTGAATAGATTAAGTATTGTAGGTATTGTACCCGCGGATTTCCATCCGCGTTATAGCAAGCACCGCTTATCCTCCCTTGATTCAGATATACATACAAAAGTGCACCAAAGACCGAACGAACCCCGAACCCTTTGTGAAAAGTGAAAATCGAAGTCTACGCGAGAGTATAGAAAAAAAGTAATGTACTCGGATAATTTTATTTAATCGAACTTTTTAGTTTAATCGGTTAGAAATAATGTGTTGTCAAAGTACGTATTCGTATTTAAAACTATGCATATGTGAACATATGCACATACATATGTATGTATGTTTGTCCATACATATTTTTTGATAATGTTTGTTTTTAGTTGAAAAAGTCGTCTAAAAACGGCTCTAGACTGTAGCTTAAGGCGTACATCATATCGATCATCATGCATAGAATCTACGTATATAGTTGTACATAATTTCCATAGAAAAAAAACTCCACAAGTAAGGGGCGTGGTTTTGTTTGTGATTGTCTTTTGTTTAGCGATTGTACATGGTACAACTTATTTCGTGCTAGCTCTGGTTGGGTTTCGGGGCGGCGCTCGCCTAACACTTCACCGGCTCCCCACAATCATACATCACTGCGTAAAAAGACTCATATAATTGCATGTAGTAATTATAGTAATAATAGATTTATTTAATAAGCTAACTTATATTATCCCCATGGCGCTACCAGAAATATGGCAGCTTTTCGAACTTAATGAACGTGAACTACAAACATTAACTAAAGGAGGGGTAAACATACATACATTCAAAGCATTCTTGGCATAGCCAGACTTGGGGCGCCAAATTCACGGCGACATGGCCCTTGGGTTAAACAATTAAATTATACCTTTATTGTGCTATATTGGATGGGCTATAGCTAATATTGGCTAAAGATGCTGCATCTAACCCAGAATCAGCTATGGCCATAGTCTCAGCAGTCATATGCACTTTCACTGGCTGGCCCTTGTCGGATCTGAACTGTTTCTTCTTCGGGCATACGAATTTAATTCACGAATTTTTGGTATTCTTCTTGTTTTATATAAATAAATTTCAAAACAAGTTCAAAGACTCTTTTGTTTTTAAAACAAGTCAAGTGAATACACGCAAAGCAACTTGGGAGTGAAAATAGTTGGCATATAAGGAGCACACATATTTCCATTCGTCCGAATTCTTCTGCAGAAATTTTAGTTTACTATTTTAAAAGTTTACTATTTTTTTTATTAAAAAATATTATTAAAAAAAAAAGGTAACCGTACGGCTCTTTTTAGTCCCTTGGTTGCGATCGACCTGGGCCACCGTGCCTCAGAATTTTTGCATTTACCCCGGATGTCAGCTTTTTCCCTCAGTCCCGCTCTTAGGATATCTTCTTCTAATTCGAGAGGGCCAGGGCCCTCTGCAAAGGTCAAACAATATTTTAAATACCATGGTTCGCCGGAACACTTCTCTTGCTTGAACTAGAGGAAGGGAAGAGTTAGCCCATGTGCTCGTAGAGAATGAAGTATTTTGGTGGCGTGTAGGTTGTGCCACCGCACCTTGCAGTGAATTGAAGTGGGACTGAAAGAGAGTTGTACACTGGAATGTAAAAATAGTTTAGGGTGTTCTCCTCCATGTTGGCTCATTCTTCAATTACTACTCTTTATTGCATTTTATGGAAAGTATGTTAAAATATATGTTTTGCGGACCACTTCACCCAATGTCGACATGTGTGTTGAAATATGAAAACTGTAATCCTTGGCTGCACCCATACGTACATTCATTTTAACACAAATAACCTGGACACTAGTTTATTCGACAATCCCCAAATTTCGTCGCTGAATTTCCAATTTATGCCTATCGGGTGAGTTGTTTATTTCTGATACCGCCTGCATTTTCCCAATAAACTTTACAATTCCTATTATATCCATAACAACTATACATGTATATTGGTTCCTTCCTCTTTGTAGATCGAAAAGTTCCTTGAATGACTCGTTTAGTGTCTTTTGCTCATATTAAAATCCATCTTAACATATATGTATGTACAATTCTACTACTAGTTCCCTTCCTCTTAATTAAAAATAGGAACAACCGTAGTATTAACAATTATTTATAATGTTGAATGCATGCTTAGCTCTTTAACTTGCGGTTGGTAATCATTTTCCTCATCATTTCCGAGTAAATCATCTACATTTCCTGCATACACCCTACCGGTTTTGTTACACGCGTCGCAGATCATGCGGAAGCGGTCTAGGAAAAAAAATGTTTTAGGGATATCCGTATAAATACATACATGTATATGCATAAATATCATCCAAAATACATAGATACCACATACTACATATTTAACTTAAACAAACATTCAATAATTTCATAAGCTATTTTCAATTTTCCTTAAGAGTTCTGAGAAAAAAATATAAAAACACTAAGGTTAATTATTTTTAATTATTCCTCTAATCCAGCTATAAACAAGATTAAACTATGTTGCCGCTAATAACAAAACGGTAAAATTCCCTGAAAGACACTTGAGTGATCAACTCAATTACAAATGGATGACACATAAGAAGAAGCCACTTGAAGAAGGAACCCACAGACAAAGTATAGTACAAGCACATTTTGCATATATTAACGAACAATATCTGAGATTATAACCAGCGACCAGTTAAATTAAAGAATATTATCATTTGATAATTGGGCATTGTAATACAAAAAGAGCATCGAGTCGCCGAGCTAACGAGCGATTGAGGAGATGCATTTCTTTCTATGGGTTCTGCTACTAGCAACTCTAGGAGATCATCATGAGTACTGGCTACCATCCCGATATTCACGGACCGTCGCTGCTCGCTTCCTTGCTAAAAGAATGGTTGCGGCTTTTCAGAACGAGTCCATAAGCTTGAAAGATGCAAATGCCGCCGTTAGTGAAGCAAAAAACCTGAGTACAACCATTACAAATGTGGCCAAATTCGACACACGGCTAAACCACCTTCTGGTGGACACAATTACGGGCAGAGTATTTGTCGGCGGAGTGAACCGATTGTACCAGCTGTCGCCGGACTTGGATCTCCATGAGACAGTGAAAACCGGACCCCAGAACGATTCTGTCGAGTGCAGTATACTCGACTGTCCGCTAAACGCCGTTCGCAGTCCTACAGACAACTATAACAAAGTACTTCTAATAGATAGAGCCACTTCGCGCCTTATCGCGTGCGGCTCCCTATTCCAAGGCACGTGCACAGTGCGTAATCTTCAGAACGTCAGTATAATTGAGCACGAGGTACCAGATGCAGTGGTGGCAAACGATGCCAAGTCGTCAACAGTGGCATTCATAGCACCAGGGCCTCCCCAGCATCCCGTGACCAATGTAATGTATGTCGGAGTTACATACACGAACAATTCCCCGTACCGCAGTGAAATCCCAGCTGTGGCGTCACGATCCCTCGAAAAGACCAAGATGTTCCAGATCGCTTCATCGGCGGTAACAACTGGAACCCGAACTTTCATCAATTCGTACGCACGAGAATCATATTTCGTGAACTATGTGTATGGCTTCAGTTCGGAGAGGTTCTCGTATTTTCTGACCACCCAACTAAAGCACAACCACCACTCGTCCCCGAAGGAGTACATAACGAAACTAGTCCGGATATGTCAAGAGGATTCCAACTATTATTCGTATACTGAGATCCCAGTCGAGTGCATCAGCGAGGCCCAGGGCGGCACCAAATTCAACCTGGTGCAGGCGGGTTTCTTGGGAAAGCCCAGCTCGGATCTGGCCCAAAGCTTGGGAATTTCCATCCAAGACGACGTTCTGTTTGCTGTGTTCTCAAAAGGAGATGGAAACGCACCCACCAACAATTCGGCCCTCTGCATATACTCCTTGAAATCCATTCGTCGTAAATTTATGCAAAATATAAAATCGTGCTTCAATGGCAATGGAATGCGCGGACTGGACTTTATCTCGCCAAGTATGCCGTGCGTTTTAACGGTATGTACAACATCTCTTCTATGTTTGTAAAATAAAGCTTAGTTTATGTGTCCACAATTTTGAAGATATGTATGCACACGAAAATCGAAAACGTAGAATCAAAGAATGATTATTATTGAATGATTAGTTAGAACGAATAATTTAATTTTCCTTTGCTAACCTACCGCCATCGCACAATCACAAACTCTACCTCGTGGAGTGTGCGCCGTAGAGGAGGAGAGGAAAAATGTGCTAGACCAGCGTTTTGTGGTGAGAAAAGAGAGAGATGTAGATGTAGAATATAGCTAGCAAAATTTTGACATATACAATTTTTGAAAATTCGCCATAAGCTTACTTATATACTGATTGAGTATCGATTCTAAATGTTGAGTCTCGGCAATGGCAGTGGCTGACAATTCAAAATCGTTGTGCACTGTGGTCAAATAAGAACAACATTAATTATTTACTTTTACCGCTGCAGTATTACTGGGTAAGATCTATGGATTAAATGATTAGATCGGTTGAGGTCGGGCTGCGTAACCCAACAGTGTTAATAGATTTTAAATTTAAATACATAAAATAAATAAAATTGTGAAGCGTTTGAAGTCGTTTTCCAACAGTCCTCTTTTAATTATAATTATAAGAATTATTGTGTATATAACAAATTGTTGCTTGGCAATTACAGAAGCTGCAAACTATTGGAGAGGATTTCTGTGGATTGGACGTGAATTCTCCGCTGGGAGGAGAGAACCCAATCACCTCCGTACCCGTGGCAATGTTCAGCGCAAGACTTACCTCAGTGGCGTCCACTAGCACAAGCGGATACACTGTTGTCTTTGTTGGAACAGTGGACGGATACCTTAAGAAAGTTGTGGTCGAATCGTCGTCCGTTGCAAACGAGTACGCCAGTTTTCCCGTGGATGTCGGCTCTGCTATCAATCAAGACATGAAGTTTGACAACCAAAATCTCTACATCTATGCCATGTCTGATCGCAGAGTGAGCAAGGTGAAAGTTTTCGACTGCTCCGACTATAAGACCTGCGGAGAGTGCTTGGGCGCCAGAGATCCGTACTGTGGCTGGTGCTCCTTGGAGAACAAGTGCAGTCCGCGCTCCAATTGCCAGGACGATGCCAACGACCCGCTGTATTGGGTTAGCTACAAGACTGGCAAGTGCACAACGATAACGAGTGTGGTCCCGCATCAACTGCAACGCACTACCGCCCGCACCCTAGAGCTAATCATCGATCACTTGCCACAGCTGAAGGAGAATCTAATTTGTGCTTTTACCACTGAGGACAAGGCGCTCTTTACCAACGCCACCAAGAAACGCAACGGAGTGAACTGTACCACACCCCGCACAGACATGCTGCCACAAATTGAGCAGGGAAAACACCATTTCACAGCCAAGTTGTCTGTGCGCACCAGGAACGGACCGGACCTGGTGTCCACAGATTTCACCTTCTTCGACTGCAGTACCCACTCTTCTTGCACCCGCTGTGTTTCCTCAGAGTTCCCATGTGATTGGTGCGTTGAGGCACATAGGTGCACGCATGACACCGCTGAGAATTGCCGCAACGACATACTAGTAACAGGGGTGAGCCGGATAGGTCCGAGCTATAGGTCGGGACCTGGATTCTGTCCGACGATTAATGCAACGGGTGACGGAAGCGAAGTGCTTGTGGCTGCGGGAACGAGTAAATCCATTAAGGTTAAAGTCCATATAATCGGACAGTTTATTGTGCAGACCCGATTCGTTTGCCAGTTCAATATCGAGGGGCGTGTAACCAGCCTAAATGCTCAGTTGCTTGGCGACACCATCTACTGTGACAGCATGGAGTTTCAGTATACCTCCAGATCGCCTAACTTGACGGCAACCTTTGCTGTTATTTGGGGTGGATCGAAGCCCCTTGATAATCCGCACAATATCCATGGTAAGTGTTTAACCAAACTCGGGCTAATTTTAATGCATTCAAACGATATTAAAATAATCATGTTTCAGTTGTAATTTATCGATGCCGAGACATGGCCGATAGTTGTGGAATTTGCTTGGCATTGGCGGACAAATACAACTGCGGCTGGTGCTCGTCCACCAATACGTGTGAGGTAGAAGAGCAGTGCAATAAGAACAATGAGGGCAAAACGGATTGGTTGAATCGGAGCGAAATTTGCCCCAACCCAGAAATTCACGCATTTGACCCGAAAACGGGTCCGTGGGAAGGCGGCACAAACATAACGATACGAGGAATCAACCTGGGCAAGAACTATAACGACATCTACTCGGGAGTTCGCATAGCTGGCATCAACTGTATGCCGTTCCCGCAGTTCTACATCGACACAAAGCAAATTGTTTGCACGGTAGATAGTCCAGGCGAGCAGATGTACAGAAATGGAAGAATAGTGGTCCAAATAGGGGACTACCGCGGTGAGTCAAAGGAGGATTACGAATTTGTTGATCCGAAAATACTAGACTTTAATCCAAAGTTTGGTCCTACGTCCGGTGGCACCGAAGTGCACATTTCTGGAAAACACTTGAATGCCGGCTCCCGCATTCAAGCCTCTATCAACGACCATTTGCCCTGTAAAATTTTGAGCGCAGATTCTTCGCAAGCCATATGTCGCACCTCCCCGTCCCCAGGAATAATCGAGGGGCGACTAAAGATGTCGTTTGATAACGGCCCCCGCGAGTTCAACGATTACAATTTCAAATATGTGCTGGATCCCACTGTTGAGCACGTCAGCTCTGGACCCACAGGTCAGATCAAAGTGCCCAAGGGCATACCGGCCGGGGGTATTCGCATCTCGGTTATTGGCACACAATTCACGAGCATACAGTCTCCCAGCATTTATGTGGTGTACAACATGGATATGTATGCAAGCCAGTGCCGAGTCCAATCGGATGTAGAAATGGAGTGTGCATCACCGATTATTGAGGCAGACAGCAAGAACTTGGACGCCGAAAGCCCAATGCTTCTCGAGTACGGTTTTCTTATGGACAATGTGCTTCGTGTGCAGAATCTGTCGAAGATACACAACAACCACTTCGAGCTGTATCCGAACCCAGAGTACTTCGTGTTTGAGGAGAGGGTCAAGTATTTTAAGAGCGAGTACCTAACCATAAACGGTCGAAATTTGGACCGCGCCTGTAAGGAAAGCGATGTGGAGGTGAGAATAGGAAACGGTTTCTGCAACATCACGTCTCTCTCTCGTCAGCAACTCACGTGTCGACCCCCGCCCGAAGCCACCGCGACTAAGAGCCCCAACGGACCCGAAGTTATTGTTCGCATCGGATCTTCGCTGGAGTACCGCATAGGGATACTGAGCTATGAGTCGTCGAACATAATTTTGGACTGGGGAGAGAACGTCATATTCGCGGTAATAGCCAGCATTGTGATCCTGCTGCTCATCTTCGTGGCCTTGCTGGTGGCCTATAAGAAAAAGAGCTCAGAGTCGAACCGAGTACTGCGCAACATGCAAGAACAGATGGACATACTGGAGTTGCGAGTTGCTGCCGAATGCAAAGAAGCCTTTGCTGAACTCCAGACTGAAATGACTGACCTCACAGGTGATCTTACTTCTGGAGGCATTCCTTTCCTGGACTACCGATCGTATGCCATGAAGATTCTCTTTCCCAACCACGAAGATCACGTTGTGTTGCAGTGGGAAAGACCAGAACTCCTGCGCAAGGAAAAGGGCCTGCGTATTTTCGGGCAACTCATAATGAACAAAACGTTCCTACTACTCTTCATCCGTACTCTTGAGTCGAATCGATACTTTTCGATGCGAGAACGAGTCAATGTGGCCTCGTTGATAATGGTTACATTACAGTCAAAGCTTGAGTACTGCACAGATATTCTGAAGACCTTGTTGGGCGACTTAATCGAGAAGTGCATAGAAGGGAAAAGTCATCCCAAATTGTTACTACGGCGAACCGAAAGTGTGGCTGAGAAAATGTTAAGTGCTTGGTTTACATTTCTGCTCTACAAGTTCTTAAAAGAGTGCGCAGGAGAGCCTCTATACATGCTCTTCCGTGCTGTGAAGGGACAAGTGGACAAGGGGCCTGTGGATGCCTGCACTCACGAAGCCAGATATTCCCTTAGTGAGGAGAAACTCATACGGCAGTCCATCGATTTTCGGCCAATGAATGTCTATGCCAGCATTATACAGCAACCAATCTTCTGCAACAACCTTGACATGCTGCCCTCCCACACCGAAAACGTGTCCGTAAAGGTTTTGGACTGCGATACAATTGGTCAAGTGAAGGAAAAATGCTTGGAGACAATCTACAGAAACATACCATCCAGCCAGAGACCTCGCAAAGAAGATTTAGACCTAGGTAAGTAGACCGCAGTCATTCTTATTTGACTATTCGACACCTTTCAAAACGAACCGAAATTGTAAACCAAACGAGAAGGGACGTGTGAGACGCTTCTTAGGCGTCACAACTTTTATACCCGACACTCTGTACTACATCTGCACCATAGCGGTTATTTGTTAAATTTTACATTTTTTCTTCATCTGTCATCTACATCAACAACACTACTCACACCAACACGCTCCTTTAGCTCGCCACCATCGCGGTGGAGGCAGAGACGTATCTGCGCGAAGCGGAGTGTGAATGAGAGAATGTGCAATGGGTTTGGCCACTACAAGTTAATTTCTTCATTGTGGCTATAATAATGATCCAATCGGATCCCAATTTGGTGATCTGATAGATATGGTCATTCCCTACGGAATGGCGTTTTTAGTTTATCTTCAAAACTGTAGATTTGGGAGGTTTTCGCCCTTTTGCGGGGGCGTGTCTCATTTTTGAGATGATCATAGAGAAGTCTGGATGCAAAATTTGGTGGCTCTAGCTCTTATAGTCTCTGAGTACTAGGCGGACAGACAGACATGGCTCTATCGACTCGTCTATGGATGCTGATCAAGAATATATATATACCTTATGGGATCGGAAACGCTTGTTTCTGTGCGTTACATACAACCGTTATTCCCCACAAATTCAATATACCCTATTTACTCTTCGAGTACCGGGTATAACAAGGTATCTTGTACTGACAGAATACCGGGTATAAAAGTTGTGACGCTTAAGAAATGTCTCACACGTCCCTTCTCGTTTTCGATTTGCTGTGTGCACGCTGCTGCTGTATTATCAATCGCTGCACAAAAAGATTACTCTGGGATCAATGACTAAGAAATTTAAGAAATTTAACATTTTCAATTACCTTATCTTGCTGCAAAAGAGTGGCGCACAGGTGCTACGGGACGAGTAATTTTGTACGATGAAGACGTCACTTCAAAGACTGAGAGCGAGTGGAAGAAGTTAAACACATTGCAGCACTACAACGTTCCAGATGGTGCTGGATTGAGCTTGGTCCCGAAGCAAAGCTCAATCTATAACTTCAGTATATTATCGGATAAAAATGAGAAATCTCACAAGTAAACACAACAACTTTTCAACATCGTTCAGCAAATACATTTATTTTAACATATTATTGTCAATCTTAGGTATGAAACTCTTAATATATCGAAGTACACCTCCTCCTCTCCGACATTTAGCCGCGCCGGCAGCCCTTTGAACAACGATATGCAGGATAGCGGTATAAGGTACTGGCATTTGGTGAAACATCACGACAGTGATATGCAGAAAGAAGGCGAACGAGTCAATAAACTGGTGTCTGAGATCTATCTAACCAGACTGTTGGCCACTAAGGGCACACTGCAAAAGTTTGTGGACGATCTCTTTGAGACAATATTCAGCACTGCTCATCGTGGATCAGCTCTGCCATTGGCAATTAAATACATGTTTGATTTCCTTGACGATCAAGCCCAATTGCACGGGATAACTGATCCTGAGGTGGTGCATACGTGGAAGAGCAACAGTCTACCATTGCGGTATGTATGCTTTTAACTGGTATAATTTTATGAGGGGAGACACTCACTCTGATACTCTTTCAGTTTTTGGGTAAACCTTATAAAAAATCCAAACTTCGTCTTCGACATACACAAGTCGAACATTGTAGATTCCTGCCTATCAGTTGTTGCACAAACATTCATGGACTCCTGCTCTACTTCCGATCATCGTTTGGGTACGAATTGTGAAAGATTTCGAAAGAAAGGAAAAGAAAAAGAGAATGCTTTTAAACTCTGTTTTGTTTGCAGGCAAAGACTCTCCAAGCTCGAAACTACTATATGCTAAAGACATTCCAGAGTATCGAAAGTGGGTAGATCGCTACTACAGAGATATTCGAGATATGTCGCCTATCTCAGACCAAGATATGAATGCTATGCTTGCTGAAGAATCAAGGGTAAGTAATTAACTTTTAATTTATCAAAATAATTTAATTATACCCGGTACTTGAAGAGTAAATATGGTATATTGCAGGGATGGTAATCATTATAAGCGGTATAAACAAAATTATACGATAATGATTACCTGTCAAGTTATATCGAAATATTCACAATATAATGATTAATTTTGAGTTATATTTTACTACTCAATTAATAATGAGCAAAAATAAAACTCAACTTTAAATTGTGACTTCATCTTACGTAGGAAATGGAAAAGTTATATTTATTCTTCATCAGTCAGACAAGAGCAACGATAATACAAAAAAAATTTTAAATAAAAATATTTCCTAGTGCAATTTATTTATATATATTTATTTATTTATGTATGTATATTCATTTATTTATATAAATTTATTTATTTAATTTAACAAAGAGCAGCTTCTACAACGACTGTGTGGATAGGTTGCACCTCAGATCGGGAAGAACTAATCTAGGTGCAGAAAAGGCTCTTTCCACACTGACTTGCGTTGCAGGGGCAGATTGCACAACTTTTGCCAATTGGAACATATTCGGATATTGGTACTTCTTTTGTTCCCAATATTGCATTATATTTGTACTTAATTCGATCGGTTTTGGGCTATAATTGTCTATTTTACAATACGCTAGTTGCAAATTTTTGTCAATACTATCATCGTGGAAGATGATTCTTCCACCCGAAAACACATTATCACATTTGCATTACATATTTTTCTTTCGTATCAAAGCTTGACTTTATTGACCCATTCCAGGCGACCCATTCTTGAAAAAGAGCTAGAAGGAATGAACAATTAAATTCATTTCTACTTGTTTATAATGCGTGACTTTCGCTTTCCTAATAGATATCACATGTTAAATTTGGGTGATGGAAAGCTGCGCACTACTATTTCATTGAACACAGCTGTACTCATAGCCAAGAGCAGCCACACGCTTAACAGGAATACGATCTCGTATCTTTAGGCGCAGCATTTACGAAAACATTCATTGCTTATGTTGTTGATGAACTCATTTGCCGAATATGACTGCCCACTTTTCTTTGCAGCAGAAGCTGCTTTATGCAAAATTCAATATTAAATGAAATAAATTGCACTGGGAAATATTTTTATTTTTAATATTTTTTTATTATGGTTGTTCTTGTCTCACTGATGAAGAATGAAGATGAATATAACTTTTCCATATTCTTCGTAAGATGGAGTCACAATTAAAAGTTGAGTTTTATTTTAGAGCAAAAAATAAAACTTAACGACTAATTATTATTTCTTGAGTTATATTTTTTGTCAAAACATAATCAGTATTCATTGAGTAGTAAAATATAACTCAAAAAGTTATCATTATATTGTGAGTATTTCGATATTACTTGAACACACTTAAATCATGGTGGATATGCATAGATTATCATTTAAGATGAATATTGGCACATGTCCGGCAGCCTCAAAGTTTCCGCAAGTGAATAATTATTATACCCGGTACTCGAAGAGTAAATAGGGTATATTGTATTTGTGGAGAATACCGGTTGTATGTAACGCACAGAAGGAAACGTTTTCGACCCCATAAAGTATATATATTCTTGATCAGCATCAATAGACGAGTCGATAGAGGCATGTCTGTCTGTCCGTCTGTCCGTCTTGTTTGTCGGCTAGTTGTCAGAGACTACAAGAGCTAGAGCCACCAAATTTTGCATCCAGACTGCTATATGCTCACACTGAAACCAGTGTATTTCAAAAATGAGCCACGCCCCCTTCCGCCACCGCAAAAGGGCGAAAACATCCCAAATCTACAATTTTGAAGACAAAAGAAAACTAAAAACGTCATTCCGTAGGAAATGGCCATATCTATCAGATCACCAAATTGGGATCCGATTGGATCATTATTAAAGCCAAAATGGATAAATTAATTTCCAGTGGCTATACCCACCCTGTCCCGCAGCTTTTGTTGTTCTTTTTACATTCTCTCATTCACACTCTGCTTCTGCTTCACTCGTCCCCTGCCTCTGCCCTCCCCCTGCCGATGCCTCTTCCGACTTTTAACCCACCCCGTCCCGCAGCTTTTATTTGTTTTTTTTTTGTGTGCGGACGGTGCCTCTGCCTCTGCCTCGAGTCTGCAGTGTGTTGGTCTAGGGAAGGGCGGCGAGCTAACGGAGCGTGTTGGTGTGAGAAGTGTTGTAGATGTAGATGACAGATGAAGAAACAATTTAAAATTTGACAAAACACCGCTAAGGTGCAGATGTAGTACTGAGTGCCGGGTATAAAACTTGTGACGCGTAAGAAGCGTCTTACAAGCCCCTTCCCGTTTAAAATTAATTTCGTTCATTTTATTTCAGCTGCATACGACAGAGTTTAACACCAATTGTGCTCTGCATGAGCTGTACACTTACGCTGTGAAATACAATGAACAGCTCACTGTTACTCTAGAGGAAGATGAATTTTCACAGAAGCAGCGATTGGCTTTCAAATTGGAACAAGTTCATAACATTATGTCAGCTGAATAGAAGAGTCCCAAGGAGTTCTCCTGAAGGCGATGTCTCAAAGCGATGCAAATGATTTATGAAAATGGCCTGTCTATAAGCCTCTAGTTAATAGAAACATTAATCATTTAACAGAAAAAGGGTCTTTCCCTACATACCAACCCAATATGGAAATATATATGTGTATGTGTATGTATTTATGTGTGTGTATCCCATGCGAATGTGAGCTAACTTGCTATAAGCTGTATGTTTAGATGATATTTACTATTTAATTTGTGTCTATTGTGGATGTAAACATATACGAATGTGTATTAATATACGAAATTATGGATAATTAATTAATTAATTTACATCAATAAATATATGCCATAGGGCCAACTTTCACATTTATTGACGTCTGACCATCTGACCAATTAAAAAACTTGTAAAATCTAAAAAAAAACCGCCAAACCTAAACAGTCCCATAAAAAGCCCATATTCTCTATATTCACATGAACACAAACAAAATTTCAAACTGTATGTGTTGCCATGAATCGTTCGCTACTCGTTTTGCCCTCGCCAATGAAACAATGTAAAATCAACGTATCAGATAAAAAGTCGAAGAAAACTACCAAACTTCTCATGTCGTTGCTCATTAAACAAAACAATTACATATGTCTATATTGTATGTATGTATGGATATAAGTAAGGTAAGATCAGATATTCGACATAAAATAATCCAAATGCAAAAATTGACTGATTTTAATTTTTATTAAATATAAAATTAATGTTTACCTATAATTTGTTTTTAAATTGCTGACATTGGTAATGAACGATATTTTTATATTCTTCTGTTACGTTTCTGTTTCTTGTCTTACAAGTCACATTCCATTTTGACAAGATATCTAACATACAGATCTACATATTCAACAACATATAAGCCTACATGATGTCAAAGTTGGTGCAATGTGAAAGTAACAGTACTGAATAATAGAAGTGAAATGTAAAGTAGCGCAATCAACTTCTGCTAAATAATCTATAATTTGTATAATTAATACAATATTTAAGAACTGCAACTCGTACTACACACCTAAAACACCTATGTTAACAAATGAACTATGAATACTATGCTACCTGGTTTCCAGGCTTTGCAAAATGTTCAAGAGTTTTATCCTTTGTATCCTTACTATGATGTATTTCGTTAGTATTAATTTACTGCTCATATGCAACTCATGTACAGATTAAATTATTACAAGACTTAGTTTATTATTCTTTTCTTATACTAGAATTTAAATTCAGAATTGTCCAAATGTGAATGTATGTATATTCCCGCAGAAGAGTCAAATGTTAAATTTTGTTTAAGACACTTTTGTGTTATTTTACGAAAATAGTGATTATGTTGCTAAAAAAACGATTAGCGGCAACTGTAAGCACAACGCATCTGTAAAATGTCCCTTAATGTTATGTGTTTAGGACAGGACGACCTTTAGCACCAGGGCATACGAGGGTTTTTTTTTCTTTGTCTTTATTTGATTTTTTCGTGTCGTTCGTGACTCTTAATAGTTGATTTTAAAATGTTTATATGTCATTTTGTAGTTCAACAATTGCATTACAAAAAAAAATAGGAGTAACTGTATGGGTATTATCAGCGCTTCTATTCTGTTCTGTGCTTCTGTTTTTAGTGCTGTTCTTAAAAATAAAAAAATTTCCAACAGGTCAATTTAACAACACACCATTAAAAAATGAAGAGTATATAGCCATATAAGACAATTGTAATACGTAAATGTTATAGTACTCTATATTTGATGTATCTGTGTATGTATGTATGTAATTAGCATTTTCAAATAATAAGAGAGAAACAAATATTTATGTGTGCAAAATAATAATAATATTTAAAATATACGATGTATATATTTATTGGGTTCTTTACATGTGTGAAGCGGTCAACTATCACATATAATATAACATACAAATTAGAACAGACTTTTTATGTTTGGCTGCCTAAGCCGCAAGAAACCGCAATCACTATACAGAAAACCCCCGAATCAAAGCACATTATCCATTATGCACATTAATAATCGTAACTACCATAACTAGTAAAAATGGATTATTTGAAAAATTGCCCACCAAATCAATATCCCAATATAGTTATGTATTATAAAAAAAAACATCTTAATTCGGCAAGCCGAAGCTGAAATACCCTTGCAAATATATATATTCCACATTCAAACTGCTGATTTGTTCTCCAAATTTCTTATGATTGTAAGAATGTAGTACTTATACGGGTATTATTTATAAAACGACATGGGCTAGTACGTATCTACTGATAACACTGCAGTTCGAAAAAAGACAATATTAATCCAGACTTCAGTCAATATTTATGAAAATAAATCGTATATAAACAGATACGAGCAGTTGCTTATTGCTAGTGCTATGTATACTACATTTTAGTTATATTGATACAATACCCTTTGCAAGGGTATGCAATAGAACTGATCACATGATTTGTAGATTTTTTGAAACAATGACTAAAGACTGATATGAAATAATAGTCGGATAATGATGCAATTTTCTTAAACAGAACCTTCGATGCATTCTTTTAATAAAAGCATTTTAAATTCAATTAAATTTGGTTTTTAAATTTAAGTCAAGTTGGATTTTGGCTTATAACACTCTCTTTAAAATGCTTCAATGGTTGAAACACAGATCACCGATCCGAGTATCATTACAGCAAATTCCAATATATGAACATTTTGTAGATAGACTGGCAATAATATATATCTCAGTGAATAATTATGGAAGATTAGGATTATGTTTTTATTTATATTTTCCTGCTGATTCTTTTTTGGTCAATATTGACACAACTCAAAATGTATACTATATTTGTGGTTGTGCGTTAAAATACATGATTCCAATATTAAAATGAAAGAAACTGCACTTTGAAGTAAAAGCAATAGCACGTGCAGTGTTGACTACAGTATATTTTAATTAACTTTAAGCCCTACCTTTTATCAACATATCTCTCAAAAGCTGAACCATGTAATTATTACCAAATATTTGTAAATTTATAAAAACGTCTTAAGCATTGAATTGAGAATGTCTAAAGAGAATGTGTTCTGCATTACTCCGTGATTACACTGTGACATTTAAGTCTGAAAATGTCGGTCTGTTCTTTCATCTTTCATGGAAATTGTTTATATAAAAACGAAGAATGAGTGCATCAGGCAACGAAAAAGTCGTAATTAGACAAATGTGCCAAAAGTATTCAACGAAAACATTGCTGATTACTTTTATGTATCCTTGCAAAATAGGACAGGCACATGGTAAAAGTGTTTCTATCAATTTGTCAACTTTAGACGCTTAATTTGTTTTAGTGCAAAATCCGTTCAATGTCATTTGCAAGGGTAAAGCTATGAAAGAAATACGAATCCATTATTGTATATACATACATACATGGGACATATGACTTGATTCGGTAACTAATTGATTTCCTGATAAAAACTGGAAATTACAGATGCTGCGCCGTTATATCGTATAAAACATGTATAATTATGATTACAGTATTTGAATCTATGTGTGTATACGTGCGTGTAAAATATTTTCAAATATACAATTATAAACTACAAAACTTTATTGAGACTTTTATAACAAGCTGGATATATTTCTGTCATAAAGAAGTAATGCGAAAAGCACAAACCAAATGCGAGTGTATCGGCACTTTCTTCTAATTAATAAGATTCCTATCTGGTTTTAAAAATATCCAAAGCTCTTAAAATGTCTGCTAAACTGACATTTTATGAAACCCAATTTTGCATCCAGACTTCTGTATGTCTTTATGTAAATACAAGTGTATTTGCAGTGTGCGGCTCTAGGGGAGGGGGCGAGCTAAAGGGGGGATGACAGATGAAGAAAAAATGTAAAATTTGATCAAAACCCGCTAAGTTACATATATATGTGTGTTGTACTGAGTACCTGGTATACAAGTTGTGACGCGTAAGAAGCGTCTCACACGTCCCTTCTCGTTTTTTTTTTGTGTTTTGTATTTATATAAGCTGTGCGTTTCATTCCGGCATATTGTTGTTGGCCTAAGACATGAGGAAAACAACATAGTTAATGGGATATTTAGTGTAGAAACATATTTTACAACCTATTAGCAGACCTACTTCATATACAACAAAAATGTCATTATTTTTCTCCGAACATTCTCTTGAAAGTACGAATAATAGGATGGATCTGTGCCGATAAACAGACCGTTAAAAAATTTCAGTTGTGGCATTTTCGTAGACTATCAGAAGACGATTTTTTCTTTAAAGATTAACCATGTTTAATTTCGCGTCAAAGATTTAATTCTTTTCTTCTGCTTTCTTCCTTGCTGTAGATGGAAACTACATTTTGTTTTCAGGGCGCATTTAAACAACTTCTTCTAAAAATTGTACAACTTTCACAACGGCGGCGGCGCAAAATTTTGAAATACACTTGTAACAGTGTAAGCATACAGATACAGTGGGGTCGAGATCGTTTCCTTCTCAGCGTTTCATACATCTACTTTTGTGCACAAATACAATATATGTACCCTACTTTCATTTCGAGTATAAAAACTATAAAAAACGAGAAGGGACGTGTGAGACGCTTCTTACGCGTCACAACTTTTATACCCGGCACTCAGGACTACATCTGCACCATAGCGGTTATTTGTCAAATTTTACATGTTTTCTTCATCTGTCATCTGTCAGCTCACCGCACTTCCCTAGACCCACACACTAAAGACTCGCGGCAGAGGCAGCGCCCGCACACAAAAAACAAACAAATATAAGCTGCGGGACGGGGTGGGTTAAAAGTCTGAAGAGGCATCGGCAGGGGGAGGGCAGAGGCAGGGGCCGAGTGAAGCAGAAGCAGAGTGTGAATGAGAGAATGTAAAAAGAGCAACAAAAGCTGCGGGACAGGGTGGGTTTAGCCACTAGAAATTAATTTCTCCATTGTGGCTATAATAATGAACCGATCGGATTCCAATTTGGTGATCTGATAGATATGGCCATTTCCTACGGAATGGTTTTAGTTTTAGAATAGAGTAAATTGTAGATTTAGAAATTGTAGATTGGGGAGGTTTTCGCCCTTTGGCGGGGGCGGAAGGGGGCGTGGCTCATTTTTGAAATACACTGGTTTCAGTGTGAGCATACAGCAGTCCGGAGCCAAAATTTGGTGGCTCTAGCTCTTATAGTCTCTGACAACTAGCCGACAAACAAGACGGACAGACGGACAGACAGACAGACAGACATGGCTCTATCGACTCGGCTATTGATGCTAATCAAGAATATATATACTTTATGGGGTCGGAAACGCTTCCTTCTGTGCGTTATTCCACAACCGTTATTCCCCACAAATACAATATACCCTATTTACTCTTCGAGTACCGGGTATAATTAATTAAATTGGGATGCATAGCAATTAATTTATTTGTAGTAACGTGAATAACTCTAACTCTAAGTTTTGAAAAGGTCTAAAAAGTAAAAACTTTTGCCGCATTCAACAAAAAATATAATTAATTTGTTTTAGATATCTGAAGTTACAGCGAGCTGATATATGTATAGGTTTGGTTTGATGGATTGGCCCTTCGGTATCCTTGTCGATATTTTCCATTGGTGTCAATTCCCCTGTTATCATTGTCATTACCACGCCAGTTGCCAGGACCCATACCATTGCTGCCACCACCCCTTCCAAGTTCTCCAATTCTATTTGGCCAAGCCATTCCATTGTTTCCCATTCCATTGTCACCCATTGCATTTTGTCCGCCTATTCTATTTGGTCCACCCATTCCATTGTAGCCCATTCCATTGTTACCTACTCCAAGTGATCCTTCCATTCTATTTGGTCCACCGATTCCTCCTAGGCCGTTCTTGCCCATTTTATTGTTACCCATTCCAGTTGATCCACCTGTTCTATTTGGTACACCTATTCCGCGATTGCCGACTAAGTTGATTTCCTTTCCATTGTTACATGTTATATTTTGCCCTACTATTCGATTTGATCCACGCATTCCTCCAGGTGCCATTCCGATGTTGCCCATTTGTCCTCCCGGTCCCATACCATTGTTGCCCATTCCATTTTGTCCTCCCATTCTATTTGGTCCACCAACTCCGTTACCATTTTGTCCGCGAGCACCCATTCCGTTCATTCCATTTGCCCCATTAGTACCACCTCCATTTCCATTGCCTGGGAACTTTACACTTCCGCCCATTCCATACCCAACACCATCTTGTTCGCCTTCACGTTTCCTACGTTCCAGTGTAACACCTAAAAATCCAGATATAGTACAAAGTCAATAACTGTCCACGCCACTTAAGACATACATACTTATAATAACTTATTTATATTAAAGATATTAATTGGTTAATTTATAGGTAGGAAATTCGAGTAAAATGTCTATCCATATGAATTATAATCATTATAGTTGTTGTTTCCAGTATTTGTATAGTTAATGTGGTTTTTGTTAAAATTTTCATAGTCATAAATGGTTCGACTGGTGGTGTAAGTAATATAGGGATTATATGTTGGGTATGATCCGCTAGGCCCATAATATTGGTTCGTATTTATTCCCATGCCAGGTGATGTCCCCATGCCTATTGGAAGAATTAATAACGGTTTAACAATTATGTTATTACCATCCATCCTAACCGGACCCACACCAGTTTGCGGAATCATTGGCATAATGGGCACTAATCCTGCAACAGGCCGCCTTGCCGTGTTCATGGGTTTCCCCATATACTGAGACAGTCCAATGGGAGGATAATATTCCCGGCCTGGAACTGGAACATTAATGGGAGCTGGACCAGGAATAAGCATTGGCATTGGCATAAGTCCTGGTATTGGCATTGGCATAGGCCTAGGCAATATAACTTGCCGAGCAGAACGGTTGTGAAATGTGTGCGATGTTTCAGACTCTGATTTGAATTTGATTTCGGTATCTTTTTTTAAGTCCGTTTTTTCCAGAAAGGCTGATAAAATGGGGAACAAAAGAAGAAGAAATCAGAGAACAATTTTGGAAGTGAACAGCTTCCAAAAAATGGTATATTTGGATTATAATAGTAAGTGTAGTTTGGCACGGAAGGATTACAAAATGAGAAGGGACGTGTGAGACGCTTCTTACGCGTCACAACTTTTATACCCGACACTCAGTACTACATCTGTACCTTAGAGGTTTTTATCAAATTTTAAAATTTTTCTTCATCTGTCATCTACATCAACAACACTTCTCACGCCAACCCGCTCCTTTAGCTCGTCTTCCTTCCCTAGAGCCACACACTGAAGAGTCACGGCAGAGGCAGCTGCCGCACACTGCGCGAAGCAGAGTGTGAATGAGAGAATGTGCAAAAAACAAATATAAGCTGCAGAACGGTGTGGGTTTAGCC